CGGAGCCCGGCTCGGCCGCAGCACCGGGCTGGAAGCGAATGGAGTCGGTGGCGCAGTGTCCGGCGCTGCCGAGGATGCTGCGATGTAATTGTTTATCTCATCTGTTCCTTACTCTGAAAAGTCAAACGAAAGAACCCCGCACAAATTTAAACTGGTGTGGTCGTGTGGCGATGAGATACTTTGGCTTCATACACCCCTCTAAAAGGAGATTAAGGCAAGAATTTACTATTTTGATTTGGTTTTCTTTTCTTATTGTTACTTTCTAGTCATTTGTCTTTTCTTATTCTTACTTTCTAGTCATTTGTAATCTAGTCCTGGTTGTTGCGGGGGGGGGGCGGGTTAGGGGTTTTGTTGCTTTTTCCTTGTCATGGCGTTTTGGTGCTATTTTTTTGTTGTTTTAAGGGGGTTTTAAAGAACTTGATAGCATTTAAGCTCTGTGTTCAGACTTGCCCTGCGTTCTCCGCCGGTGGCGCTGGCAGCCGGTGAATGAAGGAGCGGCGATCGGCGCCGGGCACTGCCGGGACCGCCTGAGGCCCTGCCGCCCTGCGGGGCTGCGTCGGTGATCGGGAGCTGTATCGATAATCAGAGCTGCATCGGTGACCGGGCTGTATCGCTGATCAGGGTCTGTGTCGATAATCAGGGGCTGTGTCGCTAATCGGGGTTGTAGCGATAATCAGGGGCTCTGTTGATAGGCAGGGGCTGTATCTCTGATCAGGGGCTGTATCGATAGTCGGGGCTGTGTCGCTGATCGGGGGCTATATCGGTAATCAGGGGCTGTATCGCTGATCGGGACTGTATTGATAATCAGGGGCTGTGTCGCTCATCGGGGCTGTAGCGATAACCAAGGGCTCTGTTGATAGTCAGGGATTGTATCTCTGATCAGGGGCTGTGTCGCTGATCAGAGGCTGTATCGATAATCGGGGCTGTATCGATAATCAGAGTCTGTATCGCTGATCAGGGTCTCTCTTGCTGATCAGGAGCTGTATCGATAATCGGGGCTGTATCGCTGATCAGGATCTTTATCGATAATCGGGAGCTCTATCGATAATCAGGGGCTCTATCGATAATCAGGGTCTGTATTGATAGTCGGAGCTGTATCGCTGATCAGGTCTGTATCGCTAATCGGGGCTGTATCGATAATCAGGTGCTGTGTCACTGATCAGGTGCCGTATCGATAATCAGGGGCTGTATCGCTAAGCAGGGTCCGTATCTCTCTCCTGTTTGTGTTTGGCGCTCTGGAGGCGTTGGCTGCCGGTCACGCCGCGGTTCAGCCTCGCTCCGTGCCCCGGCTGCCCTCGCCGGGACCTTTGTCCCCTCCTGTTCCGCATAAAAGCGCAGAGAGGCCCCGGGAGCCCGGGGTGACCATGGCTCCTGCGAGCCCGACCGCGGTCCTTTGTGCCTGCTTTGGCTTTCTAGCGCTCCTCGTGTGCGGGGCAGAAGGTGAGCTCCGTGAGCTGGTGCTGTTCTTGCTGCTGGGGAAGCCACTGCGCCAAGTGCCAATGATTTTTACAAAGGCGGTAAATCTCTTCTGCTTTGATTACCAATCTGCCAAACTGCCTTCATGATGCAAAAATTACTGGTTTTGTGAGATGAAACTTTTTCAGATGATTTAATGAAAATAAAGCTTTCTGTCTTTTTTGAAAGGTAGAAAGCAGCAGCATTTCTGAATTCTCTAAACAAAATATTTTTAAGATTTTGTTGAATGATAAATTTAGGAAGTGTTAATGGGTTTGCTGTTTGCTCTGAAATTTGCTCTTGCAGGGTAACAAAATCCTGCCCTACCTGGCTCCAGGTGACACTGGCATGAGGGCTTGGCAGGGGGTGTCTGTCACTCCACCAAAGCAATATGAAGACTGAACAAAATTGAAAGGAATAACCTGAAATGGTCTAAATTAAACAATCAGTTAAGAATACTTAATGGAAAAGTCTGTGTGATAGTTATGAAGGTGCAATTTAATTTTTTTTTTCCTTTTGTGTTACCTAGGACAGAGTGGTGCTGGGCCAGAAGTGACCATTGCACTCGGACGGCTCAAAGGAACACAGACAAATGTGAAGGGCACAGACAAGCTTGTCGATGTTTTCCTTGGAATTCCTTTTGCAAAAGCCCCTCTTGGATCCTTGAGGTTTTCTCCACCTGAACCACCTGAACCCTGGACTGGTGTGAGAGATGCAACTTCTCACCCACCGCTGTGAGAGCTGTTCATTTGTGCTGCTCAGAGCTGTGTTTATTGGGGTGCAGAGGCCTGAGTTGATATTTGGTGGTGGATGCACTGCCAGTACTGCTGGAGTGTTTCTAGTACAGGTGTGGAGATGTGCTTTTACAGGCTGCACCTCTCACTGATTATAGATAAGACAAATTTCAAGCACCCTGTGGGGATTCAGCTGGGTGCAAAAGAAGTTTTCTCTACTGTTGTTACCTTGATGCTATTGCAGGTTTAGTACTAATAATTGTGCTTTTTTTTTTTTTTTTTTTTTTTTTTTTTGTGAAGCTGTCCTCAAGATCTGTCCCTGTTGAAAACAGCTGAAAAAAACTTCAAAGAAAAGCACCTTGCATTCCAAACTTCTGAGGACTGTTTGTATCTCAGTGTTTACAGCCCTGCTGGCTCAAGCAAGAAGGACAAGTTACCTGTATGTAACCATTGAACAAACTTGTGTTTTATAAAGCTTGCAAGTAATTGCTCCTAAGAGACTTAACTGCTTTTGAAAATGTGATGCTGCACAAGCAGAAATTATATTAGCATGTAAAATTCCATGTCCACCAATGTGAAACTCAGCAGCCATCGTGCTTCGGTGATTTGGTGTTCCCAATTCTCTGATGTTGTTTTCCTTTTCCAAGTGAAATCTGCAAACCAGTACATAAAGATGTGTCTCACCCTTTTGTTTCCAAGGTAATGGTGTGGATCCATGGAGGCAATTTCATATTTGGTGGTGCTGCTCGCTATGATGGCTCTGCACTGTCAGCCTATGAGAATGTTGTGGTGGTTATAATTCAGTACAGACTGGGACTCCTTGGATTCTTCAAGTAAGAACACCTATTTCACTTTGTAAAAAGTACTTGCTGTCATGTTGAAAGCATGGGTAGTTCTGGTTGCTTAATGTGCTGAGCTTCTATATCAGCTTCCCACTGTTAGAGTGGTTTAAATGTACATAATTCACCGACATCAGGACTTCAGAACACTGAGAAATGTCTGTACATTCCATCTGCATGGTCGTGCAGCCTGCTATCAGTCCTTAGCTGGGCTTATTTGGTGCAGGACAGGATGTTTGTTCTGGCCTTTGCTTCCATCCTCTGCTGTGTAAAACAAAAACTCAGGCAGAGTAAAGGCCAGGGGTGTACCTGAGCAGAGAATGGAGGGAGTCAGGGGCTGAGGTGGGAGCCTGAGGGGCTGTTGGTCACTTTGCACTAAGCACAGAGTGCTGAGGTGGCTCTGCTGTGCCACTGTCACTGTGCTGAGCAGTGCTCTGTGCTTTCTGAGATGGCTCTGCTGTGCCCCTGTCACTGTGCTGAGC